TTCAAGGTAGGACTGTGCAATATGACCTAAAAGATCTATTTTAGTATATTTGAGCTTTATCTCATCACCTAGACTGTGATATTTATGATTAGGCTCATTAACCACATGAATGCACTTGGATAAAAACTCAACTAACTATGTGACTAAAATTCTGAGTGGCTCTACTGACAATTGAGGTTGAGTAATGTATTTAAGATGACATCAGTCCGCACCCGAGATCAGAATCAAAGCTAGAAAAAACATCATCAAACCCAGTTCTGCCAAGTTTGAGATAGAGGACTAAATATTGCAACAGAAACTTGTATAAATGTTAGCAAGATGAACAGAACATTTTGTTTGCTGCTTGAACCATTTCATATTGTGAAGAGGTGATGGACTCCTACTGAAAGCTATCTTTACTAACCTCAGTTCCAGCTGGCGTTACATCACTACCTGAGCTACACTCCTGAACTCTATAAATAATAGACCATGTAAAGTTAGAGCCTGTGGATGTGGTTTTTTTCACATTTTTTTTTTCCCTCTTTCAAGACGTAATCCACACTTCCCCTTAAAAACCGATATGGCACCGAGGGCTGATCTAAGACTGGCTCAGGTGTTTCCGATGGGTCAGAAGGGTCCTGACATTACCTGGCATTGTTCACGTAGAGCTCCTGATGACAATCAAGCCTTTCTTCCTCACACACAGCAGATTAAAATGCTCAACTTAGTCAATGCAGCAACAATAATTAATTAATACAGTACTGTTTGTAGGAGACATGCCAACCATGGCGCTGCTCACGTTTATTGCAGCTCCACACGCTCACGTCCGCTGGGAGGACTTAGGAGAGTTGGTGCGAAAGCTGAGTTTCCTACCACGCTTCTAATGAGCGCGGCATGTGAGAGTCATTTCCTGTGAGTGCTACAGAAGAAATACGCCCAACGAGATGATGTTTCTCTCACCATGTTTAATTTATGGCAATGTGTCTAGAGGGCCACCTGATCAGTCAACAAAGGACTTGGGCAGAGAAAAGAGTCTGCACAATGACATGGAACAGTTCATCATCTGAGCAACAACACCCTCCTGGCATCCGGCAATAAAAATCGCCAAACGCGTGAATGCTTTTGGCGATTAAATCATACATATCTGGAAGACACAAACAGGATACAAAAGGAGCATTGGCTCAGTATGATACAACGCGGCTCCCAGTGGGTAACGAGTTGAGAAACGCTCCCGTCTTTGACGAAGATGGAGAGCTGGTCGTCAAGTCCCATCATTTCCATTAGGAGATTTTTAATTGCCTCAACTCTTGTATCCTCTTGGGGCAAGTTTTCTTGTTTCAACAACAGCTTCCCCAATAGATTTGAGTCTCAATAGCCAGAGGTGGTGCTAGTCTCTTTGGCGCCCTGGGCGAACCATCTTTCTTTTACGTTATTCTGGGTACCATTATTCTGTGAGGGTCAGTTGGAGTCCAGTAAGCGAGGTGTTCAAACCTACCTTCTGTGTTATCCTTCTCACTCCTCCACATTTGTTAACCCCAAAGGCGAAGGTCGAGGTTTAATGGAGCTTCATAGAGCTACGGCAATTGTTTCCAGGTTCTAATACCTCATGGGGGCCAACAATACAACCTGCATTTCTGGAACACCTCAGCAGAACCACAGGTAGATTTGCTCCGAGTCACGCTGCATTAATGCAGACTGAGAGCAGATACTGTATCTTTGGAGTTTTCATTCGCTACGATCCCAAAAAGCAACAGAAATTAATCTATGAAATACGTCACTCTGCTTGTAACTAATACTTAGAATACGAGTTTCACTTTTTGAACTCAACTACTGAAATAAATGAGCTGGGAGTCAGCAAGAGATGCAGCGCAGCTCAGAGGAAACCAGGATGAGCGTCCTGGGCTGTCGCCGACTCAACGCTGTGTGGAGCGGACAGTAAACTGTCCCGAGCCTCAGTGCTGTTTTTACTGTCTTCTAACAACACTCTGTAATAACCCCGCAGAGAACTGCCGCCCAGTCTTCACTCGGTCCTTTTTGAACACATCTTCACGACAGTACTGCAGCAGCTCCGTTTGTTTTCCTGGTGCTGATGCTGCAAGCTGAAGACTTAGCGTTAGCTAATTAGCTTACTGCACTTAAAAAGCCCAGGCTCGGGCTAACCAAGAGGATACCGAGGACAAAAAGGGACAGAATTACCGTTTGCTTGTCGTCCTTAAGCGGGGAAGTTTTTACAGTGTCGGACATGGTCTCGTCATCTCCCCGAAGCCGCCGTCATGTCAACGCGGGCGGGTTGCAAAGCGCTCCGTCCTCGCGGCCACATCATTTGGTCAGCTAGCTAACTAGCCTACCTAGCAACCTGATGGGGATAACGGTCCAGAGGCACCACGTGACCTCAGCCTCAGCTCCGCAGAATTAAACTTGAAGCGATCATTTTTAATACACCTTGATCATTCATTCACAGGGAACCACGTTCCGTCAGAACACACAGATAATCTCAGGTACTCAAAGAAAATTGTATATATCCGGACAAAATATTATCTATCTATCTATCTATCTATCTATCTATCTATCTATCTATCTATCTATCTATATATATCTATCTATCTATCTATCTATCTATCTATCTATCTATCTATCTATCTATCTATCTATCTATCTATCTATCTATCTATCTATCTATCTATCTATCTATCTATCTATCTATCTATCTATCTAGTGTCTGTTTTCAATATTTATTATGAAAAAGTAAAGATGAAAATAAATGTGTGGAAAAAAAAGTTGGAAATAATTTTGGAGCAATAACTTGAAGCGATCATTTTTAAAACACCTTGATCAGACTCTCCGATAATTCTGCTATGAATGGTTCACTGGTTGTGGAAAAGATTCATTACCAACCACCGTTAGATGAACTCACTCAATCAGGTTGGATGTGTGTGTGACCAACATCAACTGCAATCTGTCGAAAATTGATTACTTAGAGGACTTAGGACAAATGATCCAGGGTTGATCTGTGTACTAGTGACACAAACTGGTATTCCAGAGCAGATTTTTTTAAGGAAATCTGCTTTCCGTACTTCAGTCTTATCAAAATTTTTGTTTTAAAAGCATCATCCAAACTGCTCCCAGTAACAAAGCTGTCTTCTCTGATCTTATAAAGTGCCTTTTTCTTGGAAATTTTAATCCAGAAAAGCTTGAATGTAAATAATGGTGACAAACGTTGCCTTCAGGGTCACTTCAAAACCAGATGGATTCAAGTATTTTTGAAAAAAATAAAAAAAGACGTTTTTTTTACAGATATTTGGTATCTTCTGTTATTGCTTTAGGTGTCTGACAAATTATGCCAGTTACATTTAGTCATTAAACTGTTTTAGTCTAGATCCACAGCATCAATCATAGCCCACTGGAGAGACAATAACTTTTAGACCTTGGGATCGCCACTGACCCAGTAAGTAGCAGATCCTGTACTGCCCCCTTGTGGACTGTTCCCCCACTACCAGTCTTTGACGTCCAGAATACAGGATGTGCTTGTAGTAATATTTTGATAAAATAATTTTAAACATCTTGGCAAATATTTTAATGATGCCCTGTGTATATTCCAACTCTACCAAATGTCAGCATCTAAAAATCTTTTCTGCAGCTGAAATGTATTCACAGCATCATCTACACAGGAATCAGAATTTATGTGAAAATTGTGAAAATGGTCTATTAAGATGCCTAATAATTTATTGATATGTCCAGGATATGTTTTCAGGAACAGTAAGCTTTTTTAACACCCAATACTCTGATGGATTTCTTTTATTCAAATGATTATGTTATCTGAATAATCTGCTAGTCTAATCATGTCTCATGTTTTAAAATGCATCATACATCTATTGTGCAATATAAACTGATTCAGTTTAGAGACTATATGTCAATATGTGGCTGCTTTTAATGACTTAAATATTAGTTTACTGTGACCGCTGCTAATTTAATACAGAGAATAAGTTTTGATTAAGTGACTAACGGTTTTTTCATAAACTTTTGCATTCGCAGTGTACAAAAAAAACAAAACAAGCAAAACAATTTTTTGTCTGAGTTGTGTTTTAGAAACCAAACATGTTTTAAGGACAGTCATCCATATTAGAGAGAAAATCTTTGCTGTTGTTTACTTTGCAGGCATCCCCCGGGATTATTTTGTAATCCTTGGAGGAACCACCAGAGGGAGACATATGTCAGAGGAGCACGAAGCAAAAAGTAATAATTGTTTAAATTGTTTAAATTTCTAAATAAATTTCTAAATAACGTTTCCGATCAAACCGACCAAAATCTTTTAAACAAAATCCGCAAGAAAAATCGTCAACTCCTACAAGATTTCTTAATTCATCCTCAATTTCTTGGGTGGCCTTTATCCTTCATTCTTCAAAGTTCCAGTTTTCTGACTTAGTGTAGTCTGTGTTTTATTCTGTTTATAGAAGCCTTGATATAACTTCACACGTGTGGAGGGAGTTTTCTAAATCTAAACTAGCTAATCTGATTGTCTACAAGTTACCAGTCTTATTGAAATTTTAGCACAATGATTCAAGATGGATTCTAAAACTCGATGAGGTACTATGAGGTAAAAAGAAAAAAAAAGAGCTTATTTTTAACACTGCACAACTAAGTCTGACTGTTGCTGCAAGAAATAGACCAACTCAAACATTTTATATATATATATATATATATATATATCATTTTCTCCTTTTAGGACCAGCTTCTCTGTTCTCAGCCTGCTCACCATCATCAGGTTAAGAGTTCCTAGTTGAAGTTGCTTCAAGTGTCCTTGCTCCAAGTCCTCATTTACCTCTGTTTTGAATAAGTCCATGCAGGACAAGTGCGCCTTTGCATGGAAGGCTTAGCAGAGGCAGAAAGCTGCAAGGGCAAATCCAGGGCGGGAGAGAGGGAGAGAAGGAGGGAGGGCGGAGCCACGACGGAACTCTTAACTCCAAAAGGCTTATTCCTGATCTCACTACCAAGGTGCCGGGCTCCGCGGTCCGCAGGAACAACCCCCAGCAGGCCATGCGCAGGTTCCGGACACAGGCCAAGTGATCGCCATCGGCTGTGAGATTCCTCCACAGAAGGAGAAAAAAAAATATCTGGGGGAGGAAAAAAAGAAGATTAAATCTCCATCAGAGGACTTCTGCCTGTGTTCGGCATCTCCTAGCTGCAGAGGAAAAATGACTCGTGACTCGGGCCTCTGAGGGAGCGATCATACGTGTCCGGGGTGGTTTTTTGGTTTTTTTTTTTCTACTTCTCCTAGTGTCGACAGGCACTAGGCCGAGGCATGCAGCACCCGCTGGACATGGGCGCCCACTACTACCCGCCCGATGTCCAGCCGGACCACAGGACTCACCGCTACAGGAGTTTCATGATAGAGGAGATTCTGACGGATCACCCGGAGCACAAAACGTCGGCGCCGGCCGGAGAGCTGCTCAAGTTCGGGGTACAGGCTCTTCTGTCCGCCCGGCCGTTTCACAGTCAGCTGGGTGAGATGGAGAACAGATGAGCTTGGCCTTTTACCCAGTAGACTGGTTTAAAAAGGAGAACAAAAAAGAACAACTCAGTTAGACCTGTAGATTTTTAATCAACGTTGATTTGATCCTTTGTCGGCAGCTACAAGAGATTTGGCCCCCTCGATTGTTTTAGCTTAATCCCATGTGTTATTCGAATAAGAAATTTGGATTGTTGTCTTTAATCCAGATTCTTTTGTCTGTCAAATCAAAACGCAAAATTGTGTGAAAAGGAAAAAAAAAGCAGAAAAAAAAGTTGGGGATTTTCAAAAGATTTTAAAAAATAATGCTGGAAGGTTTTAATGAGTAAAATGCAAATGTGGCCAATTACTACTTTTCAGTTTTGTGAAATTGTGATTATTTTAAACAAATTATTTTAGAGGCTTGTTGTGTTTTTGTTATTGTGAAAACGGTTTAGGGTTTTCAAAAAAATTATTAAATTCCTTGGTATTTATGCTTATTACTCCAATATTTAGTTCGAGCAAGGTGACTGAATATTTAACTTGAATTTGTAGCTTTTTTTAACAGATAAAAAAAAAATAATTTTTCTAAAATGCTTTTTAGCTAAAGTTTGTGAGCGCGTGCACTGTGCAGGATGAACCGACTTTGCTAATTTTTTGTGCTTTTATTTTCTGAAGAAAAAAATAACACTAAAGCGACGAAAAATATAAGCAGGTTTTGATATCCGCTTTGTTTCAGAGACGCTGCGATTCCTCCAAGTCTCTGATGAGCTCAATTCAAAGCGGGTTAATAAGGTTAAATTGTAATTTCTCTGTCTGTAAAGCGTGAACGTCTTAAAGTGCCTTTTAAACGTTAGCTACAGTAAGCGCTAGCAACGCGTTATGGAGGGACGACCGTTTGTTGCACTTTCGAGGGGAGGTCATTGTGAAACTGAAGTTTACCTTCGAGAAGCTGCTATTTAAACTCGACCTCCATGTTTCCTCTCCCACGCCGCCGCAGTGCTGAAAGCCGACCAGGCGAACCTCCTCAAATTCCCCTTGTCCCCGCTGTCCTGCACGCTGGGCTCCGCGCTCGGCTCCCCGCTTCTGTCCGCCGCTCCGGGCCTGCAGGTCGGACCCGCCAGCCACCACCTGCCGCTGGACCTGCACCTGCGCGGGAAGCTGGAGCACGGGGCCGACTGCGGCGGGAAGAGCAAGAAGGGCCGCCGGAGTCGCACCGTGTTCACCGAGCTGCAGCTCATGGGCCTGGAGAAGCGCTTCGAGAAGCAGAAGTACCTTTCCACCCCGGACAGGTGCGTCCATTCACGGGCTTTCACCCAAAACCGCTGGGCTTCAGCTCAGACATTCATCTTCATGTGGGTGAACTAGAAAGAGAACGTTCCCTTAAAAAGACCTCCGCACTTTCAGCTTGTAATAAATGAAGGAACGAACCAGTGCAATAATTCTTCATTCTAAATTTTGCCTTTCCTCTCTTTTTCAACTCCTCCACACACAAACACACACACACACACACACACACACACACACACACACACACACACACACACACACACACACACACACACACACACACACACATATAAATGAGAGAGAGAGAGAGAAAAAATGAGCGTCAAAAGATGAAGTGCAACTTTTGTTGAATAAAGCACTTACGTGAGGCATAATGTTTAGACCTAAATTGGTGTTATTTACATGTTTCCATCAGTAATTCGTTAGAAAAATGTAACGTGAGGTGCGGGCTCAGGATCCGGTTCCTTTATTCGGTTCTTGTCGGGACCGGCGCACAGAAAAAGTTGAAGACAAGGACTTGTTATGGACATGTAATAAAAAAAATATATACCCAGAGTTTTTTAAAATAGCAGCATTTTCCTGGATGTTGTGTTCTTGTAAACGGAGGTTTTCTGATGAAATCAAACTTGTTTTTGGCGGATTTGGACCAAACAGGCAGGTTTTACCCGGACACAGCTTGTAACACAACCTCTTGTGTTCTCGTTTCTTTTTGCACTCTTTAGTTTGATTAAGTCGGAATCTGTCACTTTTTCATGTCATTTCCCTGAAACATTTAGAAACACAGGCAGTCCAAAGGGGGAATGTTGAAGTTGCTCATGTGTTGGATTGACTGAACTGAACTGAACTGAACTGTGTTGCCCTAAGATATTTAGGTCTTTACGTCCAAAAGGTCCTCTAGCAGTTAGGTGGGCTTTATTTGTGACATAGGAACATTGTTTGGCTTTATTTTCAACTGTAAAATGCAAACTCTTAAAAACGAGCTAGGCAAAAAAAAAAAAAAAAAAAAACACGAAGGCCTCGACGTTTGAGCTGCTACTGATGTTTACACAGGATCTGCAGGTTCAGCATTTAGAAATACAGAAGAAAAAAAAACTTAAAATATTCACATTCATGTCATCACTTTATTTCTAAAAGCACATGTTTTTATGTTAAATCTGTAATATTGAAAAGCGTCTGTGTGTGTTTTGCTCCTTGCAGAATAGATTTGGCCGAGTCCTTGGGCCTCAGTCAGCTGCAAGTGAAAACCTGGTACCAGAACAGGAGGATGAAATGGAAGAAAATTGTAAGTTGTGCCCTGATGATGATGATGGTGATGATGATGATGATGATATTGGTGCTCTGTATTGCTGACCACAGGAATCTGTTTCACCTTCAAATTTCCCATTCTCATATCAGTGGTAGCAGCAGCTTTGTGTTGTTTTGTGGTTGGTGAAAGACCAGAAAACTGAGGATTTTTGGGGGAGAGAATTGAAAATAAGAGTCTTGCCAAAGAGTCAAAGCGCTGCAAAATACACAAAATCTAATCAAATATTCTTGTTCATGTTTCTAGTGTAAATGTCTCAGTACACTTGAAATAAGACAAAACTAATTTACATGTGACTTTTCAACAAGATTTGATGGCTTTTGATGAAAGTCAATAATTCTGTAATATTGACATAAAAGTGTTAGTTCCACTGGTTGATTATTTCACTTATAACAAGGGAATGTCTTGTTATCAGAGAAATAATGCTAATGGAACTAACACTTAAAAAAATCAATATTAAGGAATTATTTACTTAAAATAAGCTTCTATATCTAGCTGAAAATGTACTTATAAGTTAGTTCTTATTTCAAGTGCACTACAAAAACGACACCAGAAATGCTTGGTGAGATGTGGTGTTTTTGCAGTGTGGGTGATCATTTATATTGACACAAACCTGATTTTTTTTTTTCTTCTTCTCGTTCCCGTCTGCAGGTTCTACAGGGAGGAGGCCTGGAGTCGCCCACCAAGCCAAAAGGCCGACCGAAGAAGAACTCCATCCCCAGCAGCGAGCAGCTCTCTGAGCAGGAGCGATCTGCTGCCGACGGCGACCATCAGTCCGAGGGGTCGAGCTCTCACTTCGAAAACATGCAGGAAGAGTTAAGTAATTCAGCTGGACTCGTGGAGCCGCTGGGACGCTCAGCGCTCCTTTAGGAGAACGCTTCCAAGAGACCTGTTATGTTCCAGGAAGCAGCCATGTTTTTTTTTTTTTTTTTTTTGCGTTCCCTCATGATGAGCTTGCTGCTGTTCAGGAAGGAACTCAAACCTTTGCAGTAGGTCTGTTTTCACCTTCTAAGGACCCACTTTTTACTCATCTGTTTTGCATTCCTTTTTATGTAACTGTGCTATGTTTAATTATTAAATATATTTTCAGTAACGCTTTCCTCCTGTCATTCTAAAACGACGTGCGTGTTCGCAAAAGCTCGTGCGACTGGAGCCTGGCCAGCGGTCGGGTTTATGTGGACCAGAAAACGTCAGACGTCCTCAGACCTGGAAATGAAAAACACGCGCCGCTTTACTTTGACAGGAAAATGTTGATAATAGCCGACCAATCCCCACAGAATCCTAAATCACTCAGCAAAAAAGCAGGCCGGCAACTGAACAAGCACTCTTCATGTTATGCTGGATGTATTTAAATAAGCTGTGCAAAGGAGTGATAAAGGGTCAGGAAATAAATAGAGTTCAGTTAGACTAATAGGTCATTTTAAAACTTTTTTTTTTTTTTTAGTCGGAGCCTATAAGGAGTTTTTATGTTACCAGATTTTTTTCAAACTTTTCTGAAATCCGTTTTTCTTTGTTAGCCTAAGATACCAGAAAACAAAAGCTGTCACTTGTTTTCATGTTTAAAAGAATAATTGTTTTTACATGTCTCAGTAGGTTAGAGCTGGATATTGAAGTCAGATGTTACATTCAAGAATTCGTTTGAATTTTTTTCTCAGTTTAAAAAAAAGAAAAAAGGTGAAACGCATAATTCCACATATTTAATGTTTTTCACATTTAAAACACATTGTCTGTAGTTTACAGCAAAATACCGCACACTTTTTTTTAATTATTATTATTATTTTTTACCGTATTTGTAAGGTAGAATTCGCAACCACAGCTGCCGGTATTTTACCGTAAATTTAAAAAAAAAAAGTTACAGACGTCTCTTTATTTCTGCCAAAAAGTGAAACGGACAATTTGATCAGACGCACAAAGTAATGCAAGATTATACACCAGGCTGAAAACAATTATTACAGAATCAATGACAGGTGTGTTAAATATCTGCTTTAATGTTATGCGTAAAAGGTCATTTTAATCAGACAAACAAGCCTCTTCGGAAGGAAAATGGGGAAAAACAAACAAACAAAAAAACATTCAAAATATCTGAAACTGAATCCAGTCGTGATGTCAAACTAACTCTCTGCATGTTCTTACACTGACAGCTCTGCAGCTACGAGAATTTGCTGGATCCAGATGAGCTTCAGTCTAATTCTAAATTGCGTGCTGAAGAAGGAAAACGTCATCATAATCCCACTGCGCCCAGTTTGCGGCTCAAACTGGAACATATGGCTGAGAGCGGGCCCCCACTGCGCAGGGCGGAGCCCCACTTTTAACCGACTGAGAAAAAGGATATTATTTGACAACAATGTTTTACAACCAAAGATAATATTAGAATAATAATAACAAAAACAATGCGCCACAAAAAAAGGGGCTGATATTAGCTTCAACGAGGCTGAAGCGGACTGAACACAGATTTCAAACGCAGTTATGTCTTATCAACAAAGCGGGCTGCTCTGAATCACAACTGAATGAAAGATTAAATTAGTTATTACTGAATATATTTTGTTTTTTAGCTGCCAGGTTTATTGTCCCTCAGAGTTCCTGGTGCCATTTTCACGGCACTCAGAGACGCTTTACGTGCAGTGGGCCATTCCTCCTCGCGAGCGCACGGTTAATGACTCGTTCCGTGACAACTCACGTTAGCTGGTCTACGTCGCGCTACGTCAACACCTCGCGCTGTCAAAAGTGCACAAATTTGTAGTTCGAACCGAACATCACGTCTGAGAAAACTTAAAGTCGTGGAAGCGGGGGCCATTGCTTTCTTAAGGTGATGATGTAGCTGCAGTGGAGTGACCGCTTCAACGCTTCACTAGCAACGAAAATACTTTATTCGAGTTCTTTAACCCTCCAAAACAAGCAATGTGTTGAATTATATTTTATGTGATGTTTAAAAAAAAACAAAAAAGAAAAACAGTTTTTGTCGGCTACTTTTAAAATGGTTGCCTCGGTTTATGTGATGAATTTTCTGAGCCTTTATTTTCAGAGAGAACAACCTGCTGTGGATTTTCATACCGCGTCAGAACGAGCCCTGTCCGAACTGCGCTCCCAGGCTGGGCCGTCTGGGCCTCCGTCGCCTCTCCACATGCAGACCTGCAGCCTCGGCATTTTTCATCAAGAGACGTTTGATGGGCGCTGAGAACGGAGCCGGAATCACCGGGACAAAAACGCACATTTACGTTTCCGCCGGCCTGTTCCTGACAGCGTGGAGCCGCACGCAGCGGACTGCCTGTCATCGGCCGCCAGGTTTATTTTAATAAGCATCGAGCGCACAAGATGAAGAGCAAATATGGCTGTTTGTTTTCACTGACGATGAAATCGGTGGATTAGATGATGAAGATCTGCCTCGGTCGCAATTTTCAACACGGCTCGGCTTTATTTATACTGCGGTTGTCAAACATTATAACAACAATAAGAAACATGAGCGGCGCTGCAGAGAGCAACGTAAAGCCCAGAATA